ATTTTCTCACAAGGTACTGAATATGAGGCCCAAAAGAAAGAGAATCATCAATTAAAAATCCCAAGTATTTATACTTAGATACTACTTCAATCTCCAAACCTTGAAGAGTAGTGATTGAGCATGAGTTTGAAAGTGCAGACTTTCTTTTTGTAAACATCATAAGTTAAGATTTCTCTGCATTTAAAACAAGTTTTAAATCACTCAGTGTATGCATCAAAATCAGATTGAAGATGACTCAGAGCCTGATCCAATGTTGATGCAGAGGAGTAAATCACCATATCATCAGCGTATAAATTAAAACTTGAATGTGCGAGATTATTCCCAATATTATTAATATATAAAATAAATAATAATGGCCCAAGGACTGATCCCTGTGGTACGCCGATATTTACATTCAGAGTACAAGAAGTGAGTCCCTCTATATTTATACATTGAGATCTATCCGATAAGTAATTAACAAACCATCCGACAGTATTTACTGATAAACCTACACTAAGTAGCCTCTGCTTCAAAATTTTATGATCTATGAAATCAAAAGCTTTGGATAAATCGATAAAAAGAGCAGCACTATGGTTTTTATTATCCAATGAAACCATTAAATCATTTAATACTTTTATAATTGCTGTTGATGTACTATGTTTTTTCCTAAAACTGGATTGGAACTCTGAAAAAGGCATTTTTAGAAGATAGAAATTCTTTTAATTGATCATTCACAAGCGATTCCAAAACCTTTGATAAAATAGACAATTTCGAAATAGGCCTATAATTATTCAATACAGTTGGATCACCCCCTTTAAATAATGGCCGAACATAAGCAGTTTTCCAGATAGAAGGAATTTCATTTGTAGCTAAAGAAAGATTAAAAAGATAGGTTAGTGGTGGCGCAATAAAATCAGCTGCCAGCTTTAAGAAATGTGAAATAAGAAATAAGATATATATATATATATATATATTAACAAAAACACAATATTAGCTCATCTTAGTTTTACTTGTAAAAAAGTGACATTTTTGTTTTTATTACAAAATTATTGTACATTTATTTTTGTATTTATTTGTTCTCTAAATTCAGTCGATTTATAAAAGTAAAAATTATATATATATATATACAGTATATAAAACAGAGGTTTATGGTATATCATCATTTAGAGTTGAGTAAACGTGAACAAACACAAACCAAAACACCATTTTAGCAAATTTCTTTTAATTTTAATATCTAAAGAAGTTTTATTTTTGTTCACTAAATTCAATTTATTAATTTATAAGGTAAAAAAAATAAATAAAAATAAAGCAAACTATGTTTTATTTTATTTAGTTATTTATTCGTTATTATTATTATTATTATTATTTGAGTTTTAGATTGAGGTTAGTCTGTAGTAATTGTAACATGATTTATAAAATAATATAAATTTTAAAAAAATACAATTATTTATAAAAAATACAATTTTAGCAACTTTTTTTTTTTTTTTACAATTTTAGCTTTTGTATTTGGAACAAAAGTTTTTAAATTTAGTTTCAGTAAAGATTTATAAAGATACAATTCATATATATATATATATATATAGATAGATAGATAGATAGATATTATAAATTATAATATTAAATTATTAAATATATAGTAGAAGTTTGTGGTCTGTCTTCATTTGATGTTCAGTTAACGTGAACAAACACAAACCAAAACACCATTTTAGAACATCTTATAGTTCTAGGATTTAAAAATGTTTTGTGTATTTTTATAATAAATGTTCTGTAAAGAATGAAAGGTTGCCTGGTCTGATGCACACAGGTGTGTTTGGCGTTTCTCTGGTGTGTAAACAGATGGTTTTCTCGGTTCTCCGGCTCAGACATAAACAAATTTCACGCTGGGCCGCATAAAGATAAAGAGAGAAGCTGATAGATGCGTCGCCTCTCCATCAGAGCCTTTCTTCCAGACGCTAATTACAGTTAAATACGCTGAGATCAGGAGGAAGAGGAGCGGAGAGGAGGAAGAGTGTGGCGCTGCGGAGACAAGACGCTTGACAAATGAAATGAGCGGATTAACTGAACCCCACAGACACTGAGCCTATTCTGAACATAATCCCACAATCTGTGCTGAGGAATTACTGTAGATATCAGCCAGTGACGAGAATATCAAGCGCTGACTGTAAACCAATGCGTTTATTATAGTTAAATCAGGGTTATTATAGTCAACTAAAACTAAAACCATAAACACATTCGTGTCACTTGAAATAAAATAAACTTCAATACTAAAATGAAATTATATCTAAAAAATTCTTTGATTTCAGCTAGTTGACAAAGCAACATTTCTCATGTTCATTTAGTTTATGAATGCATCTAGAAAAGAATAGCTATTAAAATAATTAAAGCTGAAACTGAAATAAAAATTAATAAAAGCTATAGACATATATATAAAAAAAACCAGTAATAAAAATGGCAAACTAAAATGAAAACTGATGTAGTTGACTAATGTAAACAAATGGAGCCTTATTTTAAAGTGTTACCAAAATATTAAAATTTTTCTGATATTATGTAGTTGAAATAGAATTTTTCCATGTTCCACGATGTAATGTTTTATGGTTCTTGTTGTTTTGATAGGGCTACCATCGACCGAATCACTACATCGCCACACAAGGTAAGACAAACGGTCATTATTTTGTGTCTGAAAAACTTTATTTACCTTTATTTAACCAGAAAGTCTCATTGAGATTAAAATCTCTTTACAAGAGAGACCTGGCCAAGGCAGACAACATTTTAAAATACAACAAATACACATTAGAACCAGATTAAAACATAATATCCTCTCAACAAAAACAATCACAAGCCTCCATCACCACTCTCTTTAAATTCACCAGTAGACACAAATTTATCTAGTTTTAAATATTTTTGCAAATTATTCCATGCCCAAGGTGCATAATAGGATAATGCAGTTTTCCACAGTTCTGTAAAAACACGTGGTCCATTAAAAAGCAAAGGAACCGAGACAAAGAAGGGAACAGAGATAAGCTGGAAGTTTCCCTAACATTGCTTTATGTAAAAATGTACCAGTGCTGTTTTTTACATATGGTTAGTGATGTCCAACCCACCATCTCATACAGAATACAGTGATGAGTACTGGATTATGCATTTGAGATAAAATGTTATGAAGCATGGTACACTGAATCGTTAAGATGGAGGAGGCTGCATGCATGTATAATATATCACCATAATCGAGCACAGTTAGGAAGGTAGCTTCTTCTTTTTTTTTTGGTTGTTTATTGTTTGCTTTTATATTCTTTTAATTGAATTTACTGTACAGCACTTTGGTCAACTTAGTTGTTTTATTAGGTGCTTTATAAATAAAGTTGAAGTTCTACAAGTTTCTTTTTGGACGTAAATTAAACGTAAAATTAGATTTATTTCTAAAATAAAAGCCGAGCTTCGCTTTGAGCTTCCTGATTAGATTAGCAATATGTACATTGAATAAAAGTTTATCGTCAATCCAAATGCCCAAGTACTTGTAAGAGGGTACTCTTTCAATAGTTTTACCATCAGATGTAAAAATGCTAAGATTATCAATTAATTACTTGTGAATGTGCCTTTGAAAAAAACGTGAACTTTGTTTTCTGTGATTTTAAAACAAATTTTAAGCTCACCAGAGCACTTTCCAGTGACTGAAATGCAGTCTGAAGCTCTTTCACCGCCTGTGTTAAAACTGGAGCAAGTGTATAAATAATAGTGTCATCAGCATAAAAGTGTTTTTTTTTTTTTTTTTATATATCAAGATATGTTACCCCTGGACCACAAAATCAGTCATAAGGGTAATTTTTTTTAAAATTGAGATTTATACAAGCCGAATAAATAAGCTTTCCATTGATGTATGGTTTGTTAGGATCGGACAATATTTGGCCGAGATACAACTATTTGAAAATCTGGAATCTGAGGGTGCAAAAACATCAAAATATTGAGAAAATCATCTTTAAAGTTGTTCAAATGAAGTTCTTAGCAATGCATATTACTAATCAAAAATTAAGTTTTGATATATTTACGGTAGGAAATTTACTAAATATCTTCATGGAACATGATCTTTACTTAATATCCTAATGATTTTTGGCATAAAAGAAAGATGGATAATTTTGACCCATACAATGTATTGTTGGCTATTGCTACAAATACACCTGTGCTACTTATGACTGCTTTTGTGCTCCAGGGTCACATATTTTAAGAAAATCAGATTTGAGACCCTCCACTATAACACACTGAGTCCTATATTCAGAACACACTGAATGATTTAGACCAAATAATTTCTAAACCATTTCAATTTGTAAACTTTGGACTGAAGTGTGTTAGAAGTTGTTACACACACAAACACTGAGCCATTTAATGCTGAAACGGCGTCTTGAAACAATTAATCATCTTTTGTTGTTGTTGTGGGGGGTTTAGTACAGAATAAATGAATTAGCCGCTATGCGTCTGGCCTAATCTGGCTGTCAGCGCATGCGTTCTCCCAGCATGCCCCTGGAGGCCGTGTCTGATTGCTAGTTAATTGTTGAGAGATGTTTCTAGAGTGCCGGACCGCGGTGAGTTCCAGCGCTCTGAACGCAATCACTTCCTTTAATAGACTGGTTTAGCTGCGCTGGAGCGGCGTAATTACCTGTTTACTGGAGCGACGCCTGGCTCGTCTTTAGGGACGCCAGCCACTAAAACGCCTCTTTCGCTTACTCCCTCTCTCTGTCCTTTCATTCTGTGCTGTCCAGCAGCCGTTTTTTTATAGCTCACGCATCACTTTTATTGAAGTAAGAACTTTCTCTCAGATGTTTCTCCTAAAATTCCTCAGAAGATATACAAACAGACACAAACGGGTTGAACATTTTTATGAGATCGAAATTGAGATTTATGCATCAGCTGAAAGCTGAATAAATAATCTTTCCATTGAT